TCGCCAAATAAAGGGCAGCATTTGCAATATCTTCTGCCTTAAGGGTCACACCCTTAAGATTGGCAATCGAATACATCATCTTCTCGAGCTCCTCGTGCTTAATTCCAAGAACAGTGGTAGTCAAAGGCGTCGCGACCCCATAGGGAGATATGCAGTTAATTCTAATTCCAAATTGTCCGAGCTCAACTGCAGCATTTTTTGTGAGTCCCACAACAGCATGCTTTGAAGCAGTATAAGCATGGGTGCTTGTTTTACCTATAGTTGAAGCTATGCTGGCAGTGGAGATTATGCAGCCGCTTTGAGCAGGCACCATGATTCGAGCTGCGTGCTTGATGCCGAGGAAGACTCGAGTCGCGTTCACGCTAAGAACGCGCTCGAAATCGGATTTTTCATTATCGATTATGCGTGGCTTCAACTCGTCCGAAATGGCAGCGTTGTTGAACATGATGTCTAGTTTGCCATAGGTGGCGACAGCATTGTCCACAGCGTGTTGGATTTGGTATTCATTGGTGACGTCGCAGTGGACGAAGATGGAGTTTGATGGGCCAATTGACTCACAGACAGAGTGGCCTAATTGTTTTTGGATGTCAGCTACAACGACTTTGGCGCCATGGTGGGCAAAGACTCTGGCAGTGCATGCGCCAATACCGCTGGCACCTCCAGTGATGAGGGCAACCTTTCCCTCTAACCCGTACAATATTGACAAACAATACACCTTTAGTCTCTAGACCTGTCATTCCGAACCTATCTAAAAAAAACCTTTTTGCAACAGCAGAGATGAAGCAAGCCATTGTTATGATTCCAAACGTCAGGAGAGGATTAGTAGAAAAAGAGTTGATGGAGATCCAAGAAGATAAGCTCAATGAGAGATTAACTGGAAGAGGAAAATCAGAGGAAAATTATGGCAAAACATAGAAGACATGCTTGTACCTGTCTTCCTTTATTCCATTTTCTTGATATATAAAGTCATGCTTCGTAATTATTATATTGTACGAACTTTGTGATTCTAATCACTCCCATCACCATACATAAAAGTGAGATTACAAAAAATAAAAAATGGGTATAGGCTTTTACCCTTTTACATTGCAACTTCGGTAATTAATTTATTAATAAATAAATAATATTTTATAAATTAAATTTAAATTTTAGATTTTAAAATTAATATTAAAAAATAATTTATTTAAATACACTAAATTAATATAAAGTGCACTTTTGAAATTATATGAAAATAAAAATTATTTCAAAATATATAAAAATTGATCTAAAAACAACTTGACTATAAATACAGAAAAAGAAAAACATTGTAATCAAAACACCATTAGCTATATATAAAGTGCAACTGTTGAGAAAATGTAATCACCCTTAGCTATCACCTTCTTTTTTATTTTTTTATAGTAAAAAATTTTAAATTAAGTTAGTTAATATCGGTTTTTTGAGAGAATTAAACCCATGATCAACATGCACTTACTACCAATGGACAATGTGCCCACCACTGAACCACATTGGGGAATTGCTCCTTAGCTATCACCTTTATCTTCGAACTTTATGACAATATTTTTTCTTAACTCTTTCTCCTAACATAAAAACTGAACTTATTGTATGATAATTAATTAACATTTCCTATTCTCTCGTCCCCCACTCTCTCTTTTGTCGTCTTGATTTTCTCATATTTCTATTGTTTCCTTCTTCTCTTGGCTTCTGTTGCCTTTCTCCTCCCTGCTGGTTAAGGTGTATAATTAAAGGTAAGAGTTATTTTCTTCTTGTGAGAGGTTTTTTACCCTCTCTTGTGGAGACCTTTTCCTTTTCCTTTTCTCTTTTTGAGAATTTCTACCTTCACTTTCTCCTGACTTCGGTTGCCTCTCTACTCCCTGATGGTTAAGGTGGATAACTAAAGGTAAGAGTTCTTTTCTTCTCATGAGAGGTTTTTTACACTCTCTTGTGGAGACTTTTTCCCTTTCCTTTTCTTTTTTTGAGAATTTCTACCTTCACGATTTTTTTATCTAGACTTGCTCTCATTTGAGAGGGATGTCAATTTGAATGTCATATTGGTTAAACTCAAATTAGTTATTTTACTTGTTTCAACTATTAAGTATGGTTAGAGAAGGGATCTCATCAAACTAAAACTTTTTACCCTAATCAATTTATTTTTTATTTAGATAAATTGTGTTAAAATATGACTTCAGTGTTAATTAAATCTACTTTTTAGATGTAATTGTGATATTCATGCGAGTGTTAGATTATTTGATTTTATATTTTTACATATTTTATAAATGTAATATTTATGATATATTATTTCATTCAGATTGGTCTTGTAACCTTTATAGATTTTATGTACTAATAAAATTTAATTTCTCATTAAAAAAAAGTTGAACTCACTCATCTTTCAATTTTTTTTCTTTATTGGGCTAGTTTTTGATTCTGTATTTTTTTTTTTTTGGTACCATTTTGATTCTGTACTTTACCAAGTGATAAAAGCATTTCTTTATCTAAAACAATATATTGTACTTTAAATTATATAATTTAAATCATTATATAAAAAATAAGTCTTTAAATATCAAAAATTGTCATTCTATTTAACAGTTTACCTTTTAGGTTGATTTGGTTTGTAATTCTCTTGGAAAAAGAGTATAAGAAAGTTACACAGCAAAATAATTTGGCTCGCCTTAAGATATTAAATTTTTTAATATAAAAATTGAGATATAATATTATTAATTATATTAATTGATAATTAATTACATTAAGTATATAATTGATTATAAAAAGTAAAAGTGACTATAAATGATATAATCACTTATTTTTCCTTTATAACTAATTACTTCACTTTTTTACTTTCCAAGCAAAAAGTCTCCAAAAAATATTTTCAAAAAAATTTATATATACAATCACTTACATAATATATTATAATCAATTATATTACACCTTAATTTTTTTTTTGTCAAAAAAAATTATTTTTCTAAGTTAAGCTAAACTTTTTATTTTGTCAGCTACCGGATCATTTTCCGGAGTCCGAGAAACCAAAAGAATTGTCTCCATCGAACATGACTATTTCCACTATAAACGTGGCCTTTTCTCTACCATCCTTCCTTTCATATATTTTT